GAAGGTTCACCTTCCAACAGGACAATGACCCTAAGCACACAGCAAGAGTGGCTTATAGACAACTTTGTGAATGTCCTTGAGTGGCCCAGCCACAGCCTGGGATTGAATCCAATCAAATATTTCTGGAGAAACCTGAAAATGTGCATCTGCACCCATCCAACCTGACAGAGCTTGAGAGGTGAACAGGTGAGGTGAAGAATGGCAGATAATTGCAAAATGCTGATGAGCAAAGCTTGACGCATCAAACAAAAAAAAGACTTGAGGCTGTTAAGGTGCTTCAGCTAAGTATTGAGTTAAGGGTTTGAATACTTATGCAATGTACTTATTTCAGTTTTTTTTTATTTCTAATAAATTAACGAAGTTGTGACAGTTCTGTTTTTGCTTATTGATGTGGGAAAAAATTAATAACAAGCAGTTTAACATAAGGCTGCGACATGACAAAACGTGAAATAAATGAATGGGTATAAATACTTTCGCAAGGCACTGCATGTATCAAAGATGTGAAACATAGAAATAATGTTAATAAAGTCTCATAGTCTCAAAAAATCAATAGATTTGACCAAATCTCACAGTCATAAATACAAGTTTAGACACCAATTAACATTGGTAAATGGCATGATATTTTATTAACAGTGTGCTTTAGAAACAAACTGAACTGAACTAAGAAAGCTATACATTTTTCTAGTTGTTTTATTTTTGTATACTTAATTGTATAATGTACAATATTTGCATTTAAATGAAATGTTTATTGTTTATTTGTTTATCAATATACATATTATTATTATTATTATTATTAATGGAATATTCCTTTATTCCTCATTGTTTGTTTGTTTATTTATTTAAAATGTATTTTTGTTTTTTGATGTAAAAAATATTGCATGACTATATAAACATTTATAAAATATATGCATGATTATAGCAAAACAATGAGAACTTGCAGCTATAATTATTTTTTTTTATAATTTGCTGTGTGCTGCTTTTTTATTTAGTTTGATTGATACCCCGACTATTGATTTGATCCATAAATAGCAACGAGTTAAATGTTAATTTTGAAAAAAGAAAAAGAAAAAAAAAACTCAATTTTATAACATGAACAAAACTACTCTTATTAAGAAGTTAAGAACATTACATATTAAAGATACCTGCAAATTTAATTTCTAATTTGTCCATCTAAAACGGTATTAGATGATAGTGCAGGGCTGCGTTCAGCCCCGACAAAAACGGTGCAAAACGTTTTTTAAACGGAAACGGTGGTGTATTGAACACCCTGTTCTGATGACGCAAGAGTTGCAACTATGGCAGCTGAGAAGGCCATTCTTTGTGTTCTTTTTGAAGAATTTTCGGAGCCTGATGAAATCAGTATAAATACATGTTTAATACTGCAATATACACTCGATGTAACAGTCACTGCCCTTGCCCTCCAGAATAAAAGAGAACATCCCAATCAAATGAAGGGATTTGTGGAAACTGGGTTTCCTAATTACTGTGATCCAACATTTGCCTCGCATTTCAGGATGAAAAGACAAACATTTCAGGTGAAGGATGATCCACTTCTTACCTCCGAGCCTGTGTTATGATCTATATGACCTTATTATTTTTATTGTGAGTATTAGGTTTATCATTATTGCTGATCACTGTTGTTGTGCTATGATATTGTAATATTTACCAGTATGTAATCAGAGGGGTATAGAAAAGTTTATGAAAGTGTCACTCCACAATGCAATAGCAAAATATATAAATATGTATAGTATTTTTATGTTACATTAATCAGTGTCTAGCACACCTTCCTAAGGAAAGATATGGACCAGAAGACATTGCAATTACTAAATGATATTTAGACAGACTTAAAGAAGTTCCAGATCTATACTTGTGCTCTTATTATTTCAGTTATTTTGCCTTTAATGTAAATAAACACGTGCAAACAATATACTTGCTCTTGTGAATTTATTTGGATGTTAATTACATTGTGCTAGCTATCTCTTTAATACCGCATGGTTTATATACATGCTGCTGCTGATTGGGCTGACATTTTTGACACACCCACCAAACAAGAGAAAACGCATCTCAAACCCCGTTGCACACCGTTTCCAGAAAACATGTTGTTCAAAACGGAAACCGTAGCAAAACGGTGCACACCGGTTTGAGTTTGAACTTGCCCCAGGTGTCCTTGAGTTTTCTCTGCTCTGCAGCGCCGCCTGCAGCTGATGAGAGTAACGCGCCGCTGCATGGTCACCGAGGGCAAAGCAGGACAGCATCAGCTCATCTGACCGGGGTTATTATTGACCAAATCCCTCACCCCTGCTGAGAAAGCTGGGAACCATCGATTCATGGCAGGTGACTGATGAGCTTTAGTGCTGAGTGCGTGTTGAGAGAGAAATGATTTGATATATTATGAACTATCGTTACATTGGATTGAAATCTGATACATTCGGAACACGATTAGCCAAGTCTAAAAACAAGATATAGGCTACTGACCATCAAATATAGCAGTCCATTAATCAATTAACGTGCGGAACAAATCCATCATTAAGGTGAACTTTAAATCGTTGCTTCAGGTTAAAATAGTCCTCTATTCATAATATTCCGTTCTCTAGGGAAAAACGTGGTCCCATCTGAATCAGGGGAGAAATATGCACAGATCGTTTACAAGCCAAAACAGCTCTAAACAAATATGTGGGTGGATTTTGATGTGAGAGGAAACAGGAGATGGATTTTTTTTCAGTGGAGGAAGTGCTTTTATGGATTATGGACTAAAATTTTGGCCAGAAGTGAAGGTTTGAAGTTAAAATATAGGCCTACAGCTTTTGGCTTCACAAGATGTTAACTGATGGACTGGAGTGGTGTGGATTACTTGTGGATTATTGTGATATTTTTGGATCTGTTTGGACTCTCATTGTGACGGCACCCATTCACTGCAGAGGATCCATTGCTGAGAAATCTGTTCGATTTGATGAAGAAACAAACTCGTCTACATTTTGGATGGCCTGAGGGTGAGTACATTTTCAGCAAATTTTCCTTTTTGGTGAACTATTCCTTTAATGCATGTCCACAGACTGTCAACAAACACTCTCTGATCAATGTATGTCAATTAATCAGACACTTCCAGTTCACTGCAGGAGTATAATCGATTAAACAGAGTCACACAGTCACTGTCGGGAACAGAACAAACTAAAAGTTACTTTAATGCATGAGTAGCCTGGAAAACCAAAGACACATGAACCTGTTATTATTTCATATTTAATAGTGTAGTTTTAATTTTAGATGTATATTCTCAAGTGCACTTTCCCAGGCTGTAAATGGAGGGTCGCAGGTGAATCATGAGCCTCGTTCAGTCTTTAAATAGCGGAGGTGAAGCAGTGAAAAATTAATTCAGTGAATGTCACGGGTTCCTCTTGACTCTGGGAAAAGCATTTACACGTATCTGTCCAGAGATGCTTTGGGGTCAAATGCCTTATTTAAAAATAACCACATAAAATGCAGCCTGTGAGTGAGAAGTTGAAACATACTATGGCTATTTAAAATATTAATACTGGATTTACTTAAAAATGCTTTATCTTTATTTCATATATATTTCAACTGGAGTTTTTTTTTTTTTTTGTGGTTTTGTTGCATGCTGCATGCTGTATGTGAAGCTTTTGAAATAAGATGGGGAATATCGTCTTGTATTGAGTGATTTTTAACTAAATAATGCAAAAAAATATTTTTTAACTATAGGAAATAGGAAATGGTGCCTATAATTTCTTATCTTTTAAGTAATAATGTTTGCCTAATTTGCCTAATGCCTAAATGTCTTTTAATTTATACCCTGACTATTGATTTAATCTATACATTTATACACTAGTATTTACTTTTCATGTTTCTTGAGCTGCAAATCAGCATATTAGAATGATTTCTGAAGGATCATGTGACACTGAAGACTGGAGTAATGATGCTGAAAATTCAGCTTTTCATTACATTTTAATATATATCACAATAGAAAACTGTAATGATTAAATTGCAATATTTCACAATATTATTGTTTTTGATTAAATAAATACAGCCTTGATGGGCATAAATAATAGACTTATTTCAAAAACATTTTAAAATCTTTCAAACAATAGTTCAAGAAATAATAATAGTGATGCTTTTTTTGCTATTCATATGAATATTTTGAAGGCAAATCAAGTTTGGCAACGCAGAGTAAAAGTAATGTCACCAAACGGTGTCCTTTATTGTATCAAGAAAAGTTACTTTACAAAATCATTGAACAAAATACTTTTTTTTCTCTCCACAAACTACAAGTCAGTCTTTTCCATGTCACCATTAAAACATTTGATCTGCATTTATAAAACATGTCTGGAAACCAACAATCACACCTCATGCACCGATGATGTCATCACACTGCGACACACACACCTGTCTCTTCTCTCACACACACACACACGCACAAACTCATAATATGTCCTACATGTCTACAGCAGGCAATAAATAACAGTGAACACTACGCTACATACGAAAAGCTCCCAAAAACACCTGAAGCAAGGTACAATGGGAAAAAGATTTGGGTTCAAAATGAACTCAGAACAGTGTCTACAGACGATACTCGGTAACATAGCATAAATCAGCCATAAACAACTCTCTTTTGTGTAAAAACACAAACAAACGTGTGCAGAGGCATGTCAGAGTGTATGTGTGCATGTGTGTTATACATTAAATTCATAATATTAAGACTCTTTTCTACATTTTTGTTCACAGAAAACTAATCGTTTGGTAAAAAGGACCATATAAAATCTAATTAATACTGAAATTTTAATTAAAAACAACAACAACAAAATTTCTGGCAGCATCATATTTTTCTAAATAATTTTCAGAACAGTTAATGGTCAAAATAAAAAATAAAATACAGTATAAATAAAAAAAAAATCTTATATCTGTAGTCCAAAACGCATATAAATAAATACAAAAATGAATAAAAATGGTTCTTAGCATACAAATATCATAAAAAGAGTTTTTATCATTAATATAAAATTGTCTATTCAGTTTAGCTTCTTGATGCCAAAGCCCCGCCTACTTGAAGGCTTCTGGGATATGGTTCATCTGCATACTGGTGGGCGGGCTCGAGATGCCCTCTGACCAATCAGACAAGTTGGAATGTGGAGACGAGCTTGACCATTGGTCGGGAGATCCAGGGGAGGGTGTGAGGAACGGGTGGTCGGGAACCTGTGGCTGGTGACTGGGAGTGTTGTCCATAGGGTTGGAATAGCTATGCTGAGAAGGCGGAGTCAGAAACTGTGTGCTAGAAATGGGCGGAGCCATGCGCTGGCTCTCCTGCGGTAGGATGGTCTGGATGGGGGCGTGTCCTGAGCCGGACTGAGGATCCAGCCCAGTTAAGTCACCTAGGAAGTGATGAGAGAGGGCGTGGCCAGAGGCGGCGCTGTTTTGGTGCTGCATAGGCACCATATTCTGATGGGCGTGGTTGGGAATCATGTGCGACGGCATGCCGAGGTGGCTGCTTTGCATTGTGGGATAGCCCATGACCTGTGGCATATTGGTGGCAGAGAGCATTGTGGGTATCAGGGTTGTGAAGCCTGCCTGCTGTTGCTGCACCCTTTGCAGCCAATCGCACCCCGCCGTTTGAGCTCCGCCTCCATTGTTAGCCACTGGCAGATGGGATAAGCGAGGAGGAAGGGCAGAGTCAAATGGCTTCCCTAAGCTCTGAAGAGCTCCGCCCATGTGGGTGTCGGCCAATCCTTGGAGCTGATTCAAAGTGATGGGCGGGGACTGTTGAAACGGTGATGTCATCAGAGGCGGGGACGAGACGTCCGACAGGTAACCGTGGGGCGACTCCAGCGAATCGACAGGCGAGAGGACGCCCACTTCCATAATGCCTCCATTTTTGCCCTCTCCGGCCTTTTTCTTTTTCATTCTCATGTCTTTTCCGCCATCCTTCCCTCCTACGCCTTTACTGCTCGTTTTCCGCGCTTTCTTGGCCGTGTTGTTGTTGTTGGCACCGCCCGGGCTGGGTTTGATGCCCAGGTAGGTGTTGGGCGAGCAGAGAGGGGGCGATAGAGGCAGCGCGGGATTCTGGACCAGGTTGTATTCCTCTAACAGACGGATGATGTCGTGGTGCATGCGCTCCTGCGCGATGTCGCGTGGAAGCTGGTCTAGGTGATCCGCGATCTCACGGTTGGCCAGGTGATCAAGCAGGACTTTAGCGGTTTCGTAACTTCCCTCACGAGCAGCCAGGAAAAGTGGCGTCTCCTCCTGCAAACCAAGGGTATTATCGTTAATATTTTTGATACTTGAAAGCTGAAATAAAATAAATAGTAGATGAAAGTACTAAAATTACTAACTGGATATAAATAAAATATAAAAATTAAAATAAAACAAATTAATCCTAAATATTATTACATTTGATTATTATTAAGTTATATCATTATTATTACTACTACTGTGATAAAAATAACTACAAATTAAACAAAAGTTAAAAAGAAAATCTAAAATGTAAACATAAAAGCCAATTCAAAATATTAATAAAAACTATTAGAAGTAAATAAATAGTGTTACTAATTTTTTAATGTGCGCTGATGAATCATGCTTAATAGAGTTTTAATGCTAATATATATAGGAGTATGTTTTACAATAAATTACTTTTCCAGTTTTTCTACTTCAAAAACTCAAGTTTAATTTAATGTGTTGCTTGACATTTATGTGTAAATGATTGTGAAATTTACAAAATAAAAAATAAACAAATATTAATAAAAAAAAATGGGGGGAAAAACTAATAAAGGCAACAAAAAAAAAACAAGTTCAAATGAAAACTTAAAATGTAAAAATAAAAGCAAATTCAAAATAATAATAATAAAAACTATAATGTGTATATAAATAATACTAAAATAACACCGCTACAAAAACACATTTTTCATTTGGAATAATCAAAAATAACGGTTATAATTTTCAATTATAAATTCATTGACACGCTGATGCACAAACCCACCTTGTTATTCTGTAGGTCTTTATTCGCTCCATTCTTCAGAAGAACGACAGCAGCGTCCACATTATTAACTGCAGCCGCCCAGTGAAGAGCAGATTTACCTACAGAAACATAAAAACAGAGTGAGTTAGTGGGGACAGCCATGCATCCTCAAAATAACACCTAAGAAAGATGTTTTGAGAGATTTGGTTGAGCATATAACGTTTGTTTGTGTTCATACCAGAATCATCAATAGCATTGGGATCTGCATGGCAGTTAATGAGCTCTTCCACCATTCCCTCGACAGCCAATCGGGTGGCCAGGATCAGCGGAGTCGTTCCGTCATGCATGCGGGCGTCCAGATCCGTCGCTCGGTTCCGAATAAGAATCTGTGGCCAAACACAAGGCATAATAGTTTTTAAATGAATTATGTGCAGTGTTATTTTAGTACTATTTAGTAGTACTATTTGCTATTCACTTTTATCTTTATATTTTTGTATACATTTTTTAATTTTAATTTTAGATTAAATTTAAATGTAAGTTTAAATAGTACTTCTATTACATGTCATTTTATTAGTTTTAGAAATATTTCTATTTATTATTATTTATTAAGTTTTCATTTTAGTAATTTTAGTACTTAAAATAAAATATTTTTAATTAAACGAGACGTTAACATAAGATTAAATATTATTTGATAATATTATTTGATATTATTATTAAAATTGAAATCAATTAAAAACAAAATAACCAAAGCATGTTTTTAAAAGTATTATTATTTTTATTAACATTCTGCTACTACTGCTACTATTACTACTACTAATATTAATAACATCTTTTATCATGCAGCTGTTGTTGCTTTCACACAAATTAATTTAGTTTAGACCCTCCTGAATCATGGTAAGCTGGATATAATCTGTATTTTTACCTGGAAGACTCCCTGTGCGTCAGCAGAAACAGAGGCGTGGAGAGGCGTGCGGCCCATGTTGTCCTGAACGTTAGCGTCGGCGCACGACTCCAGCAGGCGTTTGGCGGCGTCTGAGCGGGCGTAGCGGGCAGCCAGGTGCAGCGCGGTCTCGCCGGTCCGGTCCGTCTGATTGTGCAGGTTGGCGCCGTGGTAGATGAAGTCAGTGATGACGTCAGCGGAGGGATCGTCTTCTCCCTCGCCGTTTTCGTTCTCCAGACCTCCGCCGCTGCACGACGCGATCATCAGCGGAGTGAAGCCGTCTACGAGAGAAACCGAGGACAGTTTTAAAGAAAACCCCAGAGCTGTCATCAGTAAGTGATGGTAAAGGTGCAAGCGCTCACCAGGCCCGCGGACGTTGACGTCCATGCAGTCGTTCTCGATCTCGCCCTGCGGTGGAGTCGGAGCCATAGAGTTCAGCCGCAGGTCGGCGGCGTCCAGGTGCTGCTGTGTCCACTGCCGGTGATCCAGCTGACCGCTCATGTCCAGAATAGACTGCTCCTCAAACTGCACACAAATACACACCGTTACACATCCATCCGGAGTTATGGAGTAGCTCTAACAGATGGCAGACAATGTTTCATCACTCACCCGGAACCGTTTAGCCGTGTCATCTTCTGCCCATTCGCTCAGTTGTTCATCCATCAGAGAGCTGTCCGAGTTTTTCAGAGGCCTGATGGGATGCGAAGTGGAATGTTATCATTAATGTGAGTGATAAAAGTGGAACACAGTTACGTGCAACTACATGATGTCTGTTTTTGTGAACTTTAGGAACAAAAATGCATTTTATATATTATTAAATGGAATTATAAATGTCACTTACACTAATATGAAATACATTCATTAGCAGATATTTTAATTTAAAAAAAAAAGAGACAAAATAATACAACAACACTGCACATAAATTTAGGTGCAAAATATACAATTGTACAAATATATAACTTGGTCCCTTTAAATGTTATATATTTTTATACATTACTAAATTGCATTATAACCGTCACACTTAGGTGAAAGACATTCATTAGCAAACAGATCTATTACATTATATTAGAGGATATTATATTACATTATAACTTTTTATAATTAATTTAATGAATTGTGTGGCATTATTTTAGAATTATTTATATACTTTTATAGTATTTATTAAAATTTTGAAGTAGCTTTTATTTTTGTATTTTCAGTTTTCATTTTAATCTTGGTTTTTAGTAATTTTGTAATGTGTTTTTGTAATTTTTTATTTTCTTAAAATATTTTAATTTAGCTTTAATTTAATTTTATTGTAATTTTAGTACTTCAGTTTATTACATTTAGTTGCCAAGGCAACATTTTTTAATTTTCATTTAAGTTTTTTATCTAATATTTATACATGCCACTGTCTTTTTAATCACACACTCACTTGAGTCCAACAGAATCCTCTCCAACCGGTTCCCTTCGTTTCTTTTTGGGTTCTGTGACTTTAAATCCCTCGGGGAACCAAAGCTGCCCGTGTTCCCTCTTCCTCTTCCTGGAGACCACGACGCCCACAGCCGCCAGCGCCAGAACCGCCAGCGCCAGCAGCACCAGGAACATGGGGTACATCTCTCCTGTCTTTGAGGGGGGGTCCTCACCTGCGCACACATACAGTTATTAATGCAGGAGTGTGTAGAGTATGATTTAGTGTTATAGTTAACTAAATCTAAAATTGTTCAATCATTTTCGTTAATTAAAATAAAGCAGAAATACAACACAATATGAATATTAGATGAAAAACATTCAAAAATTAGAAATGCTGCTTGGCAACTAACTGAAATAAAATGAGTTTAAGTACTAAAATGACAAACTAAAACTGAAATAATTTAAAGCTATAAATAATTAAAAAAAACTGATAAAAAGAACAAAGAAACAGTTAGAAAAATTTAAATGAAAACTGAAAATTAAAGCTAAAATATGAATATTAGATGAAGAACAAATGAAAATTAGAAATGTTGCTTGGCAACTAACGGAAATAAAATGAGTTTAAAGTACAAAAATTATAAAATACAAATAATTTAAAGCAATATATAAATATAAAAAAAAAACGAATAAAAAGAACAAAAGCACATAACCAAACTAAAATTAAAACGAAAACTGAAAATTAAAGCTAAAATAAAATGAATATTAGATAAAAAAAAAAAAACCTAAACGAAAATGTTAAATGTTGCTGGGCAACTGGAATAAAGTAAGTTAAGTTTAAGTACTAAAATGACTAAAACTGAAATAAAAATAAATAGAAATATATATTAAAAAAACAAATTTAAAAATAAAAACAAACTAAAATTAAAACTGCAAATTTAAGCTGAAATAAAATAAAAACAAATATAAATATTAAATGAAAAACTTGAACGAAAATTAGGAACGTTGAAACAAAAATACTAAAACTGAAAATAAAAACCAAAACTGAAATAAAAATGATTTATTCATAAATATAAAAGTTTAAAAACCACAAATAAAAAAACAAGTGCATAACAAAATTACTAAAACTTGAACTAAAATTAAAATGATTTTTTAAAATAAGCTAATTCAAAATATTATTAAGTACTATAAAAGTACATAAAAATACGAAAATAACAGTGATTTTGGCATAAATGTGGCACTCACTTGTGACGGCCTCGATGATGTAAGGAACATTGAGATTCCCGCTAGAGGCCAGCGCTCCGAGGAAAGCCGCCACATCCGTCGCGCTCTGGAAACACTCGTCAGACTGCTGGTAACACTGACGGTTGTCAATCTCTAGATAGACGATAGACCTGCAACACATAAACATGTGAATATCACAAATATAAAGCATCATTATATAATTAATTGCATTTAAATATTCCGATTTAACAGTGTTTTGCCTTCACTCACCCTTTGATCTCCATCTGATCGAGTTCTCGTCGGAGGCGGGGCTTCATGAAGGCCGTCAGGCTCCTCCTGGCGCGCTGCAGCAGCTGGGCCGGGTCCGTCCAATCAGAGCGCTTGTGCTTGCTCAGCTCGTGCTCGTTGCCATAGTACGGGAAAATGAGCGGCTCTCCGTTAGCGTCGCGGCGGAACACCACGTTGGTATGCAGCAGTCCGCTCAGCTCGCGGAGGAAAGACGAGGAGCGGTTGAGAAGCTCGTCTGGTGGGATGTGGACCACTAGAACCAGACTCCCCACGGCCAGTTTCTGAGGAACGTCATCGGCGCAGTCCAGACCGTCCCATTCGCACTCGGCGTTATTACAGCCCTGATCGCAGTGACCATCTGCATAGTGATCCCTACAGTACTGATCGTACAGCGGACTGAAGAGAGAGATTGAAGGAGAGGTTAAAAAAACTCACTGGTTTCTCTATTTGTAATTTTATTACAATTTTATTATATGTAATTATTATTATTATTATTAACATATTATTCATTTGAATTTTTCCATTAGGATGCATTTTCTAAAGGTAATAACAGGCTGCAAAATTTAAATTAATTATAAAGTAATTAAATTTTTTTTATAAAAAAATAAAACCAAACCAAACCATAAAATTACCAAAATCAAAACTGGAATGAAAATAAATGAAACCTTATTGGAAATATTAAAAAACTACATTTTTATATATTTTTTTTTAAATAAAATAAAATAAACTAAAATTGACAAATGTGCATAACAAGATGATTAAAACTAACTTTAAACCGAAATTATAGTGAACATTGAAAAATATAAAAATAAAAGATCACTCAAAATATTAATAAATAATATAGTAGTACATAAATAATACTAAAATAAAACTTGTGACAGCCTTGATGTTGTAAGGAACATTTAATTATTATGATTTCCCCCCCGGATTTTTCTATTTCTATTTTACTATTTTTCTATTATTTTCCAAAGTTAATAAAAGACACACACACATATAAAAACATCAAAAATAAAACAAATTAATAATAAAAATAAATAAATATAAACATCAAAAAATAAAATAAATAAAATAAGCCCCTAATGATGAAGCAAAAAAAAAAAAGACTGTTTAAAATAATACTCAATGTTTAATTATTAAATGAAAAATAAATAAATGTCACTCACTTGCACTGCCCCTCCAGTCTTTGGCAGTCGAAGCCATCATACAGGCAGCCAGCGTTGGCGCACTGCTCGTCACATTTGCCGTCGTTGAAGTACCTCCAGCACTGCAGGGCGGTGCTACAGTTCTGCCACGGGTCGTCGAAATTCAGAGAGCAGTCGCCGCCATCCCATCCGCACTCGTGATTGTTACACTGGGTATCACAGATGGCGTTTCCGCCCCTGCCTTCGCACTGAGTGATTTCACATCGGATCTCCACCTCCGGCGGGGCGATGTCTCGGCCCTGCCCTCCTTTGAAGGAGTAGTCAAGGATGTGGCAGAGGAGTCCGTTGAAGTTGGCTGGACAGGAGCAGCGGAAGAACGGGGCGTCGTTGATGGATTGGCAGGTGCCGCCATTATAGCAGGGGTTGTTGAGGCAGGGCGAGTCCATGCGTGTTTGGCACTCGTGTCCGCTGAAGCCCGGCAGGCAGAGACAGCGGGGACTCAGGTGTCCCGAGACACAGGTAGCACCGTTACGACAGCGCAGGGAGCCGCAGGACTGGGCGTCATATTCGCAGGAGGAGCCAGAGTAACCCTGAGAGAGAGCCAAAGGTTAGCAAGCGCATTTGAAGGGGTTTCTAAACTGATCCACGAGCTTATGTGATGTTCAAATCATAGCATTAGCTGTAAAGATGTGTGTTTTTACTCACCGGCTGACACTTGCAGATGTATCCGTGTTTGGTGTTGCTCGCTACAGCACATGTTCCTCCATTTTTGCATGGTGTGTCCTTGCAACCGTTGAACACAGTTTCACAGCGCTTGCCTATAAATATATATAAAAAAACACCTTTAAACAAAATTTTCACAAAAAAACAACATATTTCCCCCCCCTAAATGCAATAAATAAATGAATGACATAAGTTAATTACATCTGTGAAGTACAATTCTAAGTATATTTCATAGTTTTTGTTGCACTAAATTTAATTTACGCTAAAATAAATTATATCTGTGAAGTATCATTAAATATAATTTATCAGTTTTTGTTGTACTGAATTTATGCTAATAAAATGAATAAAATTTAATTATGTTGTAAATTATATCTGTGAAGTATAATTCTAAGTATACTTCATCAGTTTTTGTTGTACTTAATTTATAAATAAATCAAATAAGTAAAAGGTTTAAATTATAAATTATATCTGTGAAGTACAGTTCTAAGCATACTTCATATACTTTGTACTAAATGTATAAATAAATCAAGAAATGAAGTAAACATGTTTAAATTGTAAATTATATCTGAAGCACAAAACTTCACAAAAATCAGTTTTTGTTCATTTTTGCTAATAAGATAAATAAAATATATTTAAATAGAAAATTATATTGTAAGTATACTTAGAAATATTTTTCTCAGATATAATCAATCAAATAAATAAATGTTTACATTTTAAATTATACCTGTGAAGTATAATTCTAAGTTTACTTTGTTAATAAAAGATTGTAAAAATGAAATGAAAATTTAAATCCTTGATTTTAATAATAAAGTAATTAAAAAATAAGTAAATAAAATTAAATATATACATTTATATATATATACATTTAGTTCATGTCTGTTTGCAATTGAAAGTCACCTGAAATTTGGAAATTAAAGCCAATAAAGCTAATAAAGTGTAACTTTGTGTAACTTTATTAGAGAGAAAGTTAGAGACAGCAGATGCTTTAGGGTTGTTTTGAGAAAAAAAGATTAAAATATGAGGCATTGCTATCTTTCAGAAAAGTCAATATAATCTATCCTGAGAGAGATTCATTTCCCCTCGATTCATCTTTACTAGCTGTAGACTGAATTCACAATCCCATAAGTCTAGTCTAATGGATTTCATGGTTGTTGAATTGTATAGTTTTGAAAATATAATACTCTGTCCTCACTGGAGTAGATCCAGACAGATCGCTGCTGAACGGGAGAATAACGGAGGAGTAAAGGGTGTGTTTTGTATCTTTGCGTTTGCCCTTCAAGGTTTGCAGCAAACATGGAAACTGTCAAGGCCACATTTGGGCAAACTAACTCAAGAGCGCATGACACGTGTCAGCTAAATGAACGACTACAGAAAGACCTACAGCATCCACAGCAGACAACAACAATCAATCACCATTGGACCTGAAGCCCGGCAGGCAGAGACAGCGGGGACTCAGGTGTCCCGAGACACAGGTAGCACCGTTACGACAGCGCAGGGAGCCGCAGGACTGGGCGTCATATTCGCAGGAGGAGCCAGAGTAACCCTGAGAGAGAGCCAAAGGTTAGCAAGCGCATTTGAAGGGGTTTCTAAACTGATCCACGAGCTTATGTGATGTTCAAATCATAGCATTAGCTGTAAAGATGTGTGTTTTTACTCACCGGCTGACACTTGCAGATGTATCCGTGTTTGGTGTTGCTCGCTACAGCACATGTTCCTCCATTTTTGCATGGTGTGTCCTTGCAACCGTTGAACACAGTTTCACAGCGCTTGCCTATAAATATATATAAAAAAACACCTTTAAACAAAATTTTCACAAAAAAACAACATATTTCCCCCCCCTAAATGCAATAAATAAATGAATGACATAAGTTAATTACATCTGTGAAGTACAATTCTAAGTATATTTCATAGTTTTTGTTGCACTAAATTTAATTTACGCTAAAATAAATTATATCTGTGAAGTATCATTAAATATAATTTATCAGTTTTTGTTGTACTGAATTTATGCTAATAAAATGAATAAAATTTAATTATGTTGTAAATTATATCTGTGAAGTATAATTCTAAGTATACTTCATCAGTTTTTGTTGTACTTAATTTATAAATAAATCAAATAAGTAAAAGGTTTAAATTATAAATTATATCTGTGAAGTACAGTTCTAAGCATACTTCATATACTTTGTACTAAATGTATAAATAAATCAAGAAATGAAGTAAACATGTTTAAATTGTAAATTATATCTGAAGCACAAAACTTCACAAAAATCAGTTTTTGTTCATTTTTGCTAATAAGATAAATAAAATATATTTAAATAGAAAATTATATTGTAAGTATACTTAGAAATATTTTTCTCAGATATAATCAATCAAATAAATAAATGTTTACATTTTAAATTATACCTGTGAAGTATAATTCTAAGTTTACTTTGAATAAATCAATGAATAAAACAAAAATGTTTACATTTTAAATTATACATCTGAAGTATAAATACATAATGAATTATGTTGTATAGTGAAATATAGTTATAATGTATAATTATATAGTAAGTATTAGAGGTGTAACGGTACACGTATTCGTACCGAACCATTTCGGTACGGGTCTTTCGGTTCGGTATGCATGTGTACCGCATGAATACAGTTTTTAATTTTTTATTCTTCTCAGGAAATTCAAATAATAAATGGCGTTTTGACCGTCTTTTATGTGGCATGACAGATCGCTGTATAAACGCCTTAGAGAGCCGCTTCTGGGACGGTTCAGAAACGTGCTGGTATAATCCCAACACAAGCACTGACTAGAGCACAATACAGCGTGGAAATAAAATGTCACGTAGCATTTAATTTACCTCAGCAAGTCATCAGTGTCCACAGCTCGTTAGTTCACTAGAGAAATTAAGTCTAGAGAGGAGCATTTTGCGAAATATTACACTATATACTCATTATATTTTACTAAACCTGTTAGTCTTAATTATTTAATGTACAGTATGTTTAAATTAATCTGTTATGAAACATGTATACTTCAGACTAAATCAATCCGTCAATAAATCAATAAATACTGTTTTACAGAAATGAGAAATGTTTTGTCTGCATTAAAGTAATAAGAATTTGCAAGGGAAATAAGCTTGAAAAAAACTCAAATTATCCTTAAAAATGTTCATTTTGTAAGCAAAATATAGCCTTAGCATTTATTTTTTTGTTTGAAATTCACCAACACTAAATTATCTAGTGTTCACTAGGGCTGTCGCAGTGAAGGAATTTCCCTTGCGGTAATTTTGAGACTTTTTGAGAATTAAACTGACAGTCACCACTGATAAGCTACCACTAAATATTGTAGAAACTTAATTTGCTGTAAAGTTGCTTTGCAATGATTTGTATCGTGAAAAGCTCTATACAAATAAACCTGAATTGAATTGAATTATCGCCATATATATATATAAAATCTGTGTGTGTATGTGTTACGATATAACGAGGTCATATTCAGAATAAAAACGCTGATTCGTTCAATGAAAAACGCTGTTGAAATCATTTTAACTTTGAGCGCCACGTTAGAAGGCTCAGCTGACCAATGCGTCAACGCTAAGACAGAGATTTGGCTTTCCTTGGACATGACAAGCTATTTTCACAAATATATATGACTCGCAAGTAATCGCACGCGCTCAGTTGATCTCTCTCTCATTTGTTGTCTGTTTAGGCTTGTTGAGTGCAAATCTACGGAGCCTCAGTACAAATCAGCATGGTACACATTATGTTATCATTACTAACTTATTTAATATTCAGTACACATGCACGAAGTGTAAAACGAGAAGGGCATAAACCTATGAAAAAAGAAAACACGCAAAAATCGCGGTTGCTGCGGTTCTTGCATTCCTCTGCGGTTTGCTCGTCAATAGCGCGGTATTGCGATATTTCGGTTAACGCGACAGCCCTAGTGTTCACTGCAATCATATTGGTTATATCATTGATAAACATTTATTTTAAATGCAAATGTGATAATTTGTGCTCATTCAGGCACTGCGTCAGATGCGTGTTTGTACCGGTGTATCCTGTACGGCATTCGCAGCGGAAGTCGTTGATAAGCTGTACGCAGTTGTAGGATCCGTTGGGGTCACAGGGGTCAGACAGGCACTCATTGACATCGCCCTCGCAGCGCTCGCCCACAAACCCAGCCGGACACACGCAGCCATAACCTCCAACGCGGTCAACACAGCGGCCGCCATTAAAACAGCGCGGCTCGCCAGTTAACGGATCCACGGCCGGGGAACAGTCATCGACATCAATCTCACAGTGAACACCTGCAAACACGGCCAGAAAAAACAATCCATACAATTCAGCTATTGAAGTATGAAGTGAGGAGTCCAGTGTTTGTGAGCGTGTGAATGTGTCCGTACCTTGTGTTCCCCGCGGACAGGAGCATTTGTACGTGTTGATGAGGTCGATGCAGGTTCCTCCGTTCTGACAGGGTTGAGACAGACATTCGTTTATCTCTTTGCTGCAGTTGACTCCGTGATATCCAGGAACGCACTGAAGGAGAGAAACAGACATTAGACTCGTGTAATGATGATGTACAGTGCTGGATAGTAACTGATTGCATGTGATCTGGATTATGTAATCAGATTTCAAAAATTAAGTACTTGATATTAGATTGTATTACATTTTAATTATATTATCAATGTGATAACTGAGCTAGGTCACGAGTAATCTAAAAGTAATCCGATTATATTCCCTAAAACATGTAATGTTTGCCATGGAATCAGTAATGGACTACAATTTGTAAGTAATCTGCTCAGCACTGATGATGTGCATGTGTGATTGCACAGGTGTGTGTGTTTTCATACCTCACAGCTGTATCCTCCCAGGTAATCGGTGCAGGTGGCTCCGTTCTGGCAGGGGTTCGGCATGCACTCGTCCACCTGCTCCTGACAGTAGCTGCCTGTGTATCCGGCCTGGCATCTGCACAGGTGTGTGTTACCCACATCAACACACTGACCCGTGTTATGGCACAGAACAGCCGCAGACACTCCTGAGAAAAAGTGCAAATTATACATCAACTTTTAATTAGGGATGCAGCGATTAACCGGTTTCGCGATTAACCGCGCTTTAAAACGTCACGGTTAATTAATCGTAAAGGTTCCGCTAAACCGAGTGTTTCTGTTACACGGAACGGAACTGTTGCAGCTTGCGCAAAACGAATAAAGTTACACTAGCGGTGCACCAGCTTAAAATGACGTGCTTATCAGAGGCACGGAGGCTACTACATGCATTAGATGAACTGACAGAGGGACCAAACAGCGAAGCTTTATTTCCACCAGAGAAATGCTTGTCGATAGTGTGGGACCATTTTGGGTACACCAAGAATGACCAGGGTGTCATTTAAATATTGCTGTAAAAAACTGCTGCTAAAGAGCGAATACATAAGAGATAATGCACGGCTTGCTGTACATGGAACGATTTTAATGCACGACGTGAAGGCAAGAACCACCTGACGCGAAGCTACAGCTCGTTAGCTCAGAGAAATGCTTGTCGATAGTGTGGGACCATTTTGGGTACACCAAGAATGACCAGGGTGTCATTTAAATATTGCTGTAAAAAACTGCTGCTAAAGAGCGAATACGTAAGGGATAATGCACGGCTTGCTGTACATTGAACGATTTCAATGCACGACGTGAAGGCAAGAACCACCTGACGCTCCGCATTCTGCCCGCTTCAGATCAGAAAGAGATGAAATAGTGCGGTAAGATCACATTTATTTGAATTAATTATAACATTTAGCTACTTTAATTAATTTTTCGAGAGAGAGAGAGAGAGAGAGGGGTGACAGTTGCCTGTGTGAATTAGCCTACCTGCGTCTGTGCGTCTCTCCAGTAGGCTATTTAATCTATTTTATTAATAAAAGTCACGGGGCAGCATTCTCAAGAAGTTTGTGTCCTCCTGAATGTTTGTACACATGCACAGCGCGATCTCTGATCTCACAAACCAAAATAACAGACATGATTTTCTCAGGCCACATGTAAAATAATATGAATTATTATAAAGATTATTAAAATGAATACGTATAGATGACAGTTGATTCAAATAATATTTCAGTTTATTTCCATCATTAGTAACGGTTTCCACTGTGGGACAAATAAAGGTAATATTAGTCGTAATAATAGGCTACTTCATTAACTTTGTTATTTACTATCCCTGTTGTAGTATTATTCATAAGTAAAAACCAATAATATTTTTTTTCACCATGTTTCCAAATTCTAAATGTAAAGAAGGTACAAACTGAAAACATTAAATACTTTTGCGATCTATTTCCATTTGTTATTTTCAAAAGAAGATAATGCACGGCTTGCTGTACATGGAACGATTTTAATGCACGACGTGAAGGCAAGAACCACCTGACGCGAAGCTACAGCTTGTTAGCGCCGCATTCTGCCCGCTTCAGATCAGAAAGAGATGAAATAGTGCGGTAAGATCACATTTATTTGAATTAATTAATTATAACAT